ATTTAATACTAAATCGAATATACTAAAAAGTAAAAACAAACAACGAAAATATAATGATGTAAGTCATAGTATAATTTTAATTATATGCATTTTATTTATTATTTTTTGTTTAACTACAACTTAATTCTAACCATTAGATATGGACTTTTTATTCTTTATTTAAATGTCAAATATCGAAAAATAAATGATATAACAAAATGGACCAAAATGTATTGCACTATTCAACTTATGATTTTGCATTTTCAAACTTTTATTTTGAAATCATTATCAAAATTTTTAGTTTTTAATTGTCATTTGTAAATATGATTATGATCCCTAAAAAATACGAGTTTTTAAATATTTTATTGTTCAATGTAGCGCACAATAGCGTTAAATAACGCAAAATTGGGTAAGAGAGCGTGTCGTTTCAACAATTCGCATAAGCTTTTCGAGAAAAAATGCTAAATATATAAGGCTACGTCGCATTTTTCTGAAAAAAAATCTATATAGCGAGCAATAGCGAGCTACATAGCGAGCTATTTAAAACAATCATAACACTACAAGAAAAACTGCATTTAGTGACGATTTGTTTTTGCGCTTAGTGACACTTAGTTGTTTGTATATTATATACATCAGTGTTAATAGTTTTGTCTCATAATAAAAATTTACCCCATATATATGTGCATAATTTTTATTTTCAAAAATAATTAAAAAACAATAAAATATTGCGACCGGGTGAAACCGGGTTGATGTCTGAATCGATTGGGTGAGGGCTGGGTTGACTGTGTCTGACTGGGTCAATTGTTACCTGGTCTGAAGCACCCACCCGGACTTGTCCCGGATCCTGGTTGACCGGGTTCCGGTTCAACCCGCAGGAGTGGTCCGGGTTGAAAGACACTGTCCAGTCCTATTCGTCAAACGACACAATCCCATAATTTCCTCAAATAGAGAGGTAACTTAGAAAATAATCCAACGCCTAATTTTTTGACGAAGTGATGTAAAACAGAAGAAATGATTTCTAAGAGATAATATTTGGTGCTAGGTGAATGATTTCTAGAATCCTGATATCTGTTGGAAGCATGGGACGTCGGCGAATGTATGCGTTACAAACCCAAACTTGCAGAGCACATTAACAGTGGTGAATGTTTAATGTTGTCAATCTACTCTAAA